GAGGAGCTGTTCTCCAACACTGTTTCACAGTTTATCAGCGTTGCGTTCCACTCCTTCGCAATCAAGTAGCCATTGATGCACCAGCAACCCAGCTTATATCACAGCCAATCAAATAGAACGACGGAGTCGGCAGTGGAGCAACCTAAGCGATTGTTATCAAATGCTAGAGCTATCCTCAAAGATCCGTATCTCATGCGACTGAAAATTTGCAACGTTCTTCTAACGGATATGGGTTTGAGTCCGGCGCGGCACCTATACAGTCGAAGGACTAGAACTTTGATACGGCCGCACCTTTACGTCTAGTTTTGTCACAACATGAGCAACTACTGAACAGTTGTAGAAGAGGATTAACCACTCAGAAACGGTCTTACGACCGCGGTGCACGAGCGCTACCTGAGCTGACATTGGGGGAAAACATGAGTTCACCCAGTTCCCAATGGTCAAGTGGGTTGGATGAAGTGTTGTGGCTACTAAGCACACTACAAATCATGCGAAGTTAATGTTAGAGGAAAGCTCATCGGAATAAATTGAGTGCAGTCGAGACGACATTGGAGACAATAGTGTGCATTGGGATTTGAGCGCCTTATAGCGTGTGGCAGGAATACAACTGCATCATATTCACCGAAGATGACGCGGAATGGTAAACTATACGAAGTGCCTGTCAATATGGAAGCGAAGAGAAACGAAAAAATGAGGATGTGATGAATGTCCCATCAGAGTGAACGGATGGATCACCAAAGCGTATTAGACAACCGATGGTGAACGGACACGGATTGACCGATGTTCGTGTGTGTTCCTCACCGTTTGCATTACTGAGTCAAAGGAGAAACATCATCGGCTCATATATGTCGTTGTTTATGCAAGTGAATGAACAATATATATTGAATGGCTCGGTGTAGCAAACATTCTGTAAGTTATTGGGCTGACTTTGTCGAATAAACGCTTGTCCTTGAAGTGCTGAGTTCTGCAACTGGCTCACTAGTGATAGGGTGTGGAAAAAAGCAACGGCCCCTAAAGTAACTACCTGGTTGCGAACACTCAAGTATGACAATGCCAAACGTAATAATAGGCCCCCTAATCGTAAAAGTTTCTAGTTTTTAACATCTGCTTGTGATGTTGCACTGCGGATAAAAAAGCCGGGAGTATGAACATACCTATTATAGTACCAATATCCGATTGCTGTTTGGAAAATAAGAAAACCCTACAACTGTAATAGATTGTCTTGAATACTCTCAATTAGGTATACTTTCGCTACCAAAAATCTGGCTTCACGCTGACATTCAGTCGTGGTATTTGACGGATTTATACCTTATTGTGTTAACCGCCTGTGTAGCAGTAGGAACTGTGGTGGTAGCACTATCATCTACATCAACTCTATGATACAAGTCGAGGATAAGCTCTTTTCTTTGCTACAGCTCGCAAGGTATCAGCTGTGTAATCATGAAACGTCAACCAAGATACTTGAAGGACTATCTCCCCATTTTGTTGGTTATTGGACGTGCTGGTAAGTTTCTAGCTTTAACCATGTGTCATGAAATGACACATTTATTCAGCATATTCGCTCCTAAGACTGATGCATTTGGTAATCGCTGTTTTTCTACACCGGTTAAATGAAAGTCATTCGGTTTCGCCTCAAACCAGCTATTAGGTGCATGTTTGACGTTAGGAATGTCTTCAACACGTCGCCTCTCCAGATATTTCTTCAATTTCGGGATGAGATGATAGTCTGACGTTGCCAGAGTAGGCAAGTAGGGGAGAGGATGGCGGACCAATTGGATACCCAGGGTGTTCAGTTTGACAGTCACAACATTGTGCGTGTGTGCAGGTGCATAGTCATGCAAAAATGTCAGATTTCCACTGCGTTTTCTCTTGATCTTCTTTCTCAACTAGTCCCAAAGATTAGCCTAATACTTTCCGGTGGTCTGGAGCCCTGAGGAAGGTTATCCACTGAACAGGACAACGTTTGTGTGATACTTTGAGTTACTAAGTAGAAAATAACCATATTCATCCTCGAATATGGCTACACTAACATGTTGCTTGTGCTGCTGTGCAAACGCCAGACCATACTACGACCATCAAGTACCGCCGTAACATTAGTACACTACCCGAACAACTGCTTGTCTTAATCATTCGCAGCCAATGATCTGTTAGCTTGGATGCGGTTTGATATGCCATTAGCCGTGTACTGCTGTGGAGTTGAAAAAGATCAGATGATCAGACCATATAGTGTGGACACTATCGGATCTAACTCAACAGTTCAGTGTTGCTGACACGGCTTCTTGTGGTAAGTGACTGCAATTACTGGTTTCCTCGTCTACGAAGTACCACCTCTCAAGAAATATTGGGACACATTTCTGGGCGGCGGTCAAGTGCGAGTGGTCCAATGCGATTCTGGTTATCAGTTCATTTGGAGTATTAAACGCACTAATTGAGCAATTTTCCATGTGTGTTTTTTACTCTGCGCAATTTTCATCTGGGTTCTCATTATGGACTCCACGCCAATGCTTACAATGGTTGAGATGAACAATACTTCCCAGTAAGAGGAGCGGGTTAAATGTTGAAATCATTCTCAGTTTAGTTTTTTTGGCGGTTAGCTTTGAACTACTCGTTGTATGAATGGATTGTGACGCGCGATTCAGTTTTTAGGGAACCTTGGTTAATGCGATTACTGGGACCGTAGCCGAAGCAAGTGAGATCGAAATGCGTTGTGGTGTGCAATGTTTTTGAGCGCGCAACACCCAATTTCCTTTCCCGGTTTATTTTGTGAATTACACACCTCGGTGTAGGACCGAGTATGATGGCCAATATAATGTGGAGACTTAGTCATATCATTTTATGGTCACTGTCCGTGAGGCTGTGTTTCGCGAATCCCCAATGTGAATATGATGTCCAGAACATTGACTGATTTGGTTGGACTGGTAACTGGTGTCTACTTTTCCGCTCTAATAGAATATAGAAAACGTGTGTACGAATGTAATGAGAGTTAAAATGACGAGAAGATCTTTGTTATGTTAAAATCACTGGAAAATTGCTTCTCTGTGTAGCAACCCTGAAGTAATTTCAAAAGCGGAAGTAATGTTTGTGATTTTCGCATTAAACGTATTCTGGGGATTGTAGACACAAGTACTTAGTATGTAAGAGAAAGCACCTGCAATCGGCACCCAACTACATTCAGGGACATATTCCAGTTGTGAGTAGTCTGTACGTTCCACAGTAAGTGTTATGTATACGTTTATGGCACAACCCGTACCTTTTCTGGTGCAGCGATCTTTCCGAAACGGGTGCTAGTTTGAAATCATTAGAATAGAGTCAGCCGTATCAGATGAAAACCATCTTTCAGTTAATGAGGATCACTTATTTATCACTGAACTGTATAACTGTGTTTATAAGTTGAATTTTATTGCTTATGGATCTGTTAATAAACAGAATCCCTGAGAACATACTATTAAGGAATTCTACTGTTCGTTGCATGGTCGCATGTCTCCACAGGTAGGGTATTCCCTATTCTGCAACCCGAGAATGCGCACGGCAGCCGGGTTACTTTCATCAAACTTACTTAAATCATTGGCTTTTACCAGGAATCCCTTAACCAACTTGTCAACAGTAATCCTTATTGCCAAGTGTGGACATCAATATCCATCATTCGTCGTTTCTTTATCCCAGAGTACGTCCTGTTTCTCCAACATAATGCAACTCTCAACGGATTCTCTCCACACTCCATATTAATTTGTTGTGCAAGGCAGTGGAACTCGCTCTATCGCCCTCATGGAACTTGCTTTTTAATCGCCATTCGACGTCAAGTGACACAACATATGTTGGACATCACAATTTTTTTTCTTTTTCATGGTCTTCAGAGATTCACAACTGCTCTGGCTGAATATTTCGGTATTCGGAGTGTCTGTCAAAAGTCTCCGATGGGATTTGGATGTTCATCTAGCATTGCTTTTTATCTGCACTTTGTTTCTCAGTATCCTGTATTTTTTCACCGCAGCTTTTACGACCGTACTGATAACTCTCGCTTATTTTGCAACAGTTTGTCTTCTCTAAGTCGAATTTTCTTGTTCTAACCTTAAAGGCTTTTAATTGAACCCCTCTATTTTTGTAACTATTTTACTGACCGTACCGTGATCTGTGAAGTAATGCCAATGCTCACGCGAAAATCACTTCTCTTAGGCATCAAAATGACTTGTTCATCGCTAAGCAACTGTAATGTTACCACTATGTGTTTTTCTCCTGTAACCCTCACAAGTTCAGAGTTGAGCACAGCATACGGTCACCTATTATAGGTTAGCAAAATCTATCGGATGTTAAGTACCGGAGCATTACATAAAATGTGTCACCAGTCTTATGGTCTGCGTGCACCCACCCACTATTGCTCCTGGCCCCTCCATCTACCGATTGCGGCCCGCATTGATTTGAATGATCATTTTCATATACTCTTACTCTCACTTAATTGTATTGTATTGCAACACAGTTGCTGAGGTGTTTCTCACCTTTATATGGCGTCTGTAATGCTGAGGAATGACGTAATTTTAATTAGTTTACTTGAATTTTTATTTCTTTGGTACATTCGAATCAATCACACGAGTCTACCGTGGCATCTTTTATCCGATTCGAATTTCCTACCTGTCCGCGTGTTATCATGATACTTCACTGTATTCCACTTTTCACTACGAACCGTGACTTTGGTTCTATTCCTACCACAATAGTTGTAGTATCGTGTCCGAACTCCGTTTTTGCGCTTTCCCAATTGCTAGTCTGACGTTGGCTTCATTCTGTTCCCTGCTTTAGTCTCTAAGCTGATTTCTGTATGTTGTGACTAGCTTGCCTATTAGTTCCGTTTTAGCATCCCTTGATTGTCTTTCGTTTCCCTTTCTGATGATTTAAATCATTTATACCTATATTTTGTCAATCAGTTCGAGACTAGTCGACTTATTGTTTCGCACATTTTCATTGTTGGATAGTTTCCCATTGCCTCTTCGCTTTTCTTCTCCCCTCAGCGAATTTTACTCTATCGTGTTCTGACACGAGTAATACATCGGCTATCAGCACATCCTATCGATTCGCTGTATGCTGTTGTCCTCCGGCGTATGCTCAAGTGGCTATCCGCTGCCACCGAATACCTTTTCCCCTGGTTAGACATTACCGAAATGGCCAATGATGGTACGTTACTCCCCACTGTTCAAGCGAAATATGTTCTCCTGATCAGTGTAGAACTTAGGTCATTTATCTCGGAATATGCTTTGAACCGATTGGGGGTGCATTATTTTAGCTTTTAGATTCCCATCTGTTTTTTTAGCTTTTTTGTTGCAACACTTCGGTCTTGACGCAGCAGTTTCTACTTAGTAGGATGTAAAACACTGCGATAAGACTGGTGTTACTTTAAAGATGGGAGACCTGATCAGTTTACACTAAAGAAATTAAACGATTGATCGTATTTGATCACCGCTGTTTGCGGAGTATTGTGCACATATGTTGTCTACAGCATCACAACACGATAAAGTACGTGAACGGGACTGAATTTTGCTTTGGGTAAAAGAAACAGTTTTTCTTTTTTTGAAGGGAAGCAGCTACATTTAAAAATATACTACCTGCAAAATACGTAACGCGCGAACAGTGTAACGCATGAGCTACTGATCTCATGTTTAACCTGGTAATCATTGCGTATTCTTCCACTTATGTAGGGTTTAGGACACTCCGAGCTAATCGTCAACGTACTGATTTATTATCGTTTGGTCAGCCACAACCATGGTAACTTGTAACTTATCAGGACGAACTACTTGATGTATTTCAACATCTAAAAGGTTTAGAAAGGAAGGCTCGTTATCTCCAGCTCCTCGCAACAGTAGATGGCTCTAACTTTTCATAATGAGTGCGATTGTAGGCGGTGCCTACTATATCTACCTAATGGGACCAAATGAGGTCGAAACGCGTCGTGGCTGTGCAGTGTTCTCGGGTGGGTAACACTTATTTTCCATCTGCGTCAGCTATAATCTTAATTATCGAATTCACCAAGGCTCACTTCAACACGTATCCCGGTCCACCTTGAGATTGCGCATCGCAACCCAATCAAACAACAAATACTTCATAGGGACCCTACATTCAGAATGTTTCCTGCTTTACTATGTAGATAATTAGTTATTTAATGAACTGTCATGCATTTTCTCCTGTCCGCATTTCTCATCCCATGCAGTGCGCGACGTGCTGCGCCAAGCCAAAGGAGAGTTTGCTGCGGTTTGGCGACATTTTGAAAATTGTGCTCTCCTCGAGTTGCACGAGCTTCTGTGCCCCGTCATTGCTCGAACTACTGGAAGGTTGCTTTACTCTCAGTCCCTCCTCTTCCCATCTTCGGCGCGGCCTTGGGCAGATATGGCAGCTGTGGACCAGTGCATCTCCACTGTCTCTCAGCACATCAAGGCACATCATCATTCAGATGTACTGATCCCTCCAGACGACACCCCACGGAAACTCTCTGAATTTAAGCATATCATTGCTCTGAAGGATTTACTGATGCAGTGTCCCTCTAGCCAGTGTCATCGGCCACACGAGTTGGAAATGCTAGAAAAGATGAAGACCGAGTCTCGTGAAGAGCGATGGGTTGAACACTGGTCTGCCACCGAAGAGAAAAGTTAGTTCGGCCCCTTTCTCATCATTCACTTTCTCACCTTGTTTACAATGGTTGATCACTTTGCTTTACTTTTCTCCTGTTTAGTGGTCTTGCGCAACTTTCAGCGTTGTCTCCTTCGCCAGTCTCAACGTTTGGCAGCAAGCTCAATCCAACAGAGGAAAACGCAACCCAGTAATTTTGGAGAGAATTGCTCGGAGCATTCCGTTTTCACACACCCGTCGGGAATAACGACTATGGATGACACATCTCACTCGGAGAGAACTGCGATTGCGAATGACTACTGTGACAATAAGGTGAAGAATGAACCTGTAATTACCTTCAAATCCCAGTCACTAATGAGTGCGAAATTTCAACCAGGCGAAGTGGATGTGAAAGAACTGCGACGATCCGCGCCCCAGTTTTTTAAGCACCCGGCCCAGTTTTATTTTGCGGATTGTGATTTTTGGGCATCCATGCCGGATGTGGCACCCCCCACTAACTGCACGAAAGAGCCACCAGTGGATCTAGACGAAGACCCGGAGCCCCGTTCAGCATTGGATTTCACCAGTGATGAGGAAGATGTCCGCCCTTGCCTACTTTGTGGTCACCATGGAGACAACGGTATTGAGGGCCGTTTGCTATTTACTGGCGCAGATACTTGGGTAAGCAAGGTGCTGTTTACGTCTTGCTCAACCTTCTATGGTTCATTCGAGCGTACCGCGTCCTATTCGGTTATTTGTTTAACCTGGCAATTGTATCCTCTCGTTAGTAGCTTCTTACTGGAGAGTGTGCTGCTTTTGCTTCTCATTTTAGTCACTAAACAGCAGTCACGTGGTCATCATCACCTTCGTAGTCACCATCACTATCAACTGCAACAGCACAAAACGCTACTCATTTGTACTGCCGTCCCCTATCATAAACTCAAATGATCTAACTGGCGAGGAATAATGATGCTGGACCTTACCGTGGTGCGATGGTTTGTGTGCCTCAGTGATCCATTGAGCTATACTGGGTGGTGCTTTTGCACCTTCAGAGCCACTCATACCAGATTGGTCAATGGTTAGAGGCCAGACAAACTCAGCCTCCTGGTCCTCCAGGTTGGGGGTTAGAATGAGGTGGCTCCTTATTCCTTAAAACGGACTCCTTGTAGTCCAGTGCCAAACCCGCTGCCTTGCGGCCAGGTTTTTGAACCAAAGGCTTTGGTTGAGAACCCTAATCGTTCTCCTATCTAGGCCTAGGCAACCTGACAGTATCCTGCCCACGCAATACAATGAATCTTTCCCCAAACAAATTTCTGATGCTCTGGCCACTGCAGAGGATAATCAACGGTGCCCTATCTGCTGCATCGAGCAGGGTCGATAGGGGTTTGAATGCTACTGCTCAAGCCTTCCCATCTTACTCCCCTTCTTGCGCTTTTTCACTCTTACCGTCCCCTTCCAACTTCACTTATATCCCCCTGTTTTAAACACCCCAATTCTCGGCCCTCCCCAACATGCTTTGCTAGGCATTTATCTTCTAATTTCAACTCACAGGTGAACGCAGAGCGTCATTCCTGCAATGTCAACAGGCCCATGTCCAAGCAAGCGGCCCATTCCAGTTCATCGGCTTCCATTTGGAGCCCTCGATCCTCCTTCAGACTGGCATGCCTCAATGTTCGTTTATTGCTTCAGATCGGTCAACAGGCAGCACTTGCCCGAACATTAGAGACCCTCTCGATCGATATCTGCTGCTTATCGGAGACCGGCCTGCAAGACTCGAGCTCTGTACTCACTCTGCGATCCCCTTCAGGTGACACTAGCAGCACTTTCTCATTGCGCCTATCTGGTGACGATGCAGCTTCGAGCACCGGCCAAGCCGGTGTTGGTATTGCCCTGAGTCCCTGGGCTGAAGCTGCTCTGATTGATTGGATTCCAATCAGTAACCGGATGTGTGCGGTCCGATTGGCTGGCTCGTTTAAAGCTTCGAAATTTTAGGTCTTCCCTTTGACGTACAAGGTTACACGCCATTTCCCAGAAAAGGGTTTCCTCCTCCTGTGACAATAATTTTTTCCTCGCACCATCACCTGTAACTCCACTAATTAGGCACTGGAGTTTCATGACTTCTTCAAACAGAGTAAGGAAATGGTATTGTACCGGCATTCCGGTGTAGCTTGCTGAATGCGGGCAAGGAAATCATTTACACTTTCTCCGCATCGTTGCTGTAGCTTAAAAAACTGATAACGAGCGGAAAGCACACTTTGTTGGATTCCCCACAATTCCTCAAACAACTGGATCACGTGCACAATACTGGTCTTAGCCATCAAGTTCATAGCGTCAAACTGACGTTGTCCTTCTGATCCAAGGGCTTGGCGGAATAACATAATTCAATGGGTATCGGAAAACACGATAGAGGGGTTTATCACGGGAAAGGGAGTCATTTGATGTTGGAAAGATGTTTTTCAAGGTGTCCACGACTGTAGAGAGGGATTTTCTGCACCACCAGGCCACAGATATGACAGTCCCGCAAGAGGGCCCGTAGCAACCGTTGCCATTCTGATACGTATTACTCGAGTATTGCTGGATCGCACCTGGACCCTTAGTCCGCGCGAAAAGTGAATAAGAACACACACCAAATAGAACGTGTCAAAAACTGTCATAGATAGCTTGTAGGTTACACCAGATGAATACGTCAAAAAGGAACCAATCAGCACAAGGAAAAGAGTAGACGAATCAGCTATCGGTCAATCGATCTGTATGTCTTTGTTTGCTCATCGGCTCAGCGGTTTAGCGGACGACACACATGTAACACTAGCTGACCTAGATACAAAAGTTGGCGTTCATTTGACACGAAGTGCGTGATGTGTAAGCGTTTTTAGCTATTAAACTGTTTTAGCTGGAGCATGCCGTCCTCCCGACCCTTTTCTGGAACGCCTCACGGACGTACAAAAATTGGTATTGGTATCAAGGTTCATTGGTAGCTGGCACAAGACAGATCATTCCCCTAGTTTATGAAAAACCAGTTGTAGGGCTGATGGAAAGCTTGGTCCATTCACATTAGCCAGGAACGTTAAGTCTTCCGCGAAAATTAGGAATGGAACATACCTTCTAGTTCAATCGAGAAATTATGTTCCGAACACCGTGGTGTGGTGGATGCAGTTGGCACGATACACAGCGAGAGCATAACCACTATAATTAACAACGTCAAGACGGTCAGCTTGAACCCAAACTGATGGCGAAGAAATTGAATGCAAGAAGAGCTTCAAATTATGCAGAATCGAGCGAAAATAAGCAATCCGATGCAGGAAATGGAGTACTGGAGCGCCACTGACGGCGCCACGTCTGATACGGTCTCACATGCACCAGCCAGATTGTCTCTCCGTCCATTTCATCACTCACCCATGCCGTGTCATGGACTGCTCACCCGGCGGTTTCGCCAAATTGAAGCAGCGCCACGGTTTTTACTGCCTACCGAGGAAGCCGATCAGCAAGCATGCTGCAAAACTTCCCCAGGTGACGTCAGTGAATAGGAAACCGTAAACTCTCCATTGTTGAACAAGAAGGATTTCGGCGAAACGGCAACTTCGGATATCAGCATTTCTCCCCTGATGTTCCCATCAGACAAGAGAAATACTCTGCAAACACCGGGGGTCAAACGCGGACAAGCACTTCATATCCTCTTCGCGAAATGGTTAGGCCCCTTATCCCTCCATTGAGACTATTCGTGTCGCAGCGTTATCCACTTAAACGTTTACTGACTAGCTCATATTAGGCGGTCTCCAACAACTGTAGACTCTCTGTAAAGCCGCAGGTGCCTTGCTGATATGCGCTTTAATTTTGCCTGTGATGTGGCCACCACAGATGACGCAGCTACTAAGGTAGGAAACCGAGAAATAGTCGGCGACCTCTTTCCGCAAAGATGGATGAAAGTCATCCGACTAAGGAGAATTTTTACTCTTTTTAGACGGAAAGCACATGTGGAACTTCTTCCAATGTGCAACGTCAGACATCTACTTCCCAGGTCGGCTCTGGCTAATAGGAAAGTGGAAGTGTTAGGCAGGCCCGCAGAACTTCACTTCAAAAAGTTCCGCCAAATGGACTAGTCGACGACGTTAAGAATGAAGTAACGGTCCAACTATCTCAGCTATTTTATTTCAACCTGATGACCTTCCCAAACTTGGCATAGTGCTCGTTGGTTCCACATCTTTTCCAAAACAGCAGCTCTCCCACGTCAGCTTCAGTCTACTGCCCGATAGACAGAGAAGAATCGAGGGAAATGGGAAGAAATCAAGAACGTGTGGGACGGTTGTCGCACTGAGCCAGAAAGCAGATGTTAATCTCTGGCTGTCTGTTTTAAGCCAGGTGTTTTGCTCCAGGTGCCCTGCACCAAGCATCTACTGTAACAGTCTGTACCACATGATAGTGAAAGTTATCGAGGTTGCCTTGAGGGAATCCATCCTGATCTATTATCTCATTAGCCGGACGGACAAGATGGTGAGTGGTGCCTAGGTACGTTTGAGGGACTCCGCTCGTAGCCGCTTGCGCAAGAGCTTGACACAACAGACAGTGTGAATCAAGCCCAACGCGGGTGTGTGATTGCAGACAACCATTGGGACATACTCCATACCTCACACATACAGCTTGTAGACATTTAGCCCAGTGCACATGTGTTGTACGGCCGTAGTATGTCACGCACCTTCGTCACTGGACGATGGCACCTGGGAGTTGGTCGGTGTGCACCCATTTGACCAAAGACTGCCCGGCTTGAGGCGGACGGTAGCCAAACTTTTAGCATTCTAAGGTGGGCACACTGTCAGTGACAATGCTTGGCGTTGGTGCGCTACGCCAGCCCAACCGTGAGCTAATGTCCCATGGACCCGCTGTTTTAAATGAACAGGGCTAGCTACATCTCGCTAAACTCTGAAGATTATTAGGTTGCGGATGAGTTAGTCTAACCCAATAGCAATTGACCCGTTTAGTAAGAGTGCCTGTAAAGGCACTTGGAAAACGCCCTCCAGCCTATCTACTGTTTCGGTCCAGCAGAGTAATCAATGTTCCCTTGCCGGTGCACTGGGTTACCACTCACCGTAAACCATTGATAAAAATTGAATGTTCACGCAAAGGACTATGATCTCTTCCGGACCGTTAGTCTGTGGGCAAACTCGGCACACTATGAAGGCCTAGATCTTCACGCGCTCTTTAGAGTTATTTGAGCGCCGCAGAAATAGCGCCGCGGAGTCTAATCCTAATGAAGCTCTGTTCTGTCAGTCGGCAGCACGAACAAAGTCTATACAGTGACCACGAAGCCAGGTGGGCCCAGCTTGCTTCGGAAATGATGGCCGCAGCCTTCTCTGACAATAATCGGAAGCCCTTCCAACTTATTAGTTCTACTGACAACCAAATGTATGGTATCAATGAGACAAATTGCGAAGCGTATATTTCGGTATTTACAATCCTACAGAGACCCTCTGATCGATAGGTCAAATCTTTTTATTCTCATTACGATTGGTCGTCACCCTCCAATCGTATGCCCTGCGAACTTAGCTGACCGTCCTGAGACGTCACCGTTGATGAACCTAAAAAGCGGAAGGTTGGCTTGCGATTCGGCACTTGATACGATTCAAGGTTGTCGGCTAAGATGAACTTGCTTTGGAGTTGTTCCAGTATAGGTACACAGGCATAGTTAA